CTGGGCTCCGGCGATCCTTCCACCTCAGCCTTCCGAGTGGCTGGAACTACAGGCACACGCTACCACGCCCGGCTAATTTTTGATTTATTGTAGAGATGAGGTCTCGCCAAGTTGCCCAGGCAGGTCAGCCTGGCCCATTTTTTAGAATGAATAGATAGTATTTAGAAAGAAGAAGACCTATGTAGGTAGAAGTTAGTTGTAAGGCTGGTGTTAAGACTCAGAATTCCTTCATTGGATGTTGGCCTTTGAAATACTTGATTTCTGGGATATTTTTGTTTCTACAATACAGCGGGAAGTTCATTTACAACAGAGCTGAATTAGTTTGCTTTTTCCCTTTAGCTTTTAATCTTGAAATAATTATAGGTTCACAAGAAAGTACAAAAATAGTACAGAGAGTTCCCATTTTCCTCCAGAGGTAACATCTTCCATAGCTATAGTATATCAAAACAGCTAAATTGCTTTTGAGTTATAGCATTTCTTCCTTTACTAAAAGTTAATTATGCAATCTTTGGCAAATCTGTCTAAAATGAGCCAGAATTAGGTGAGGTAATCTCTAGCCAGGTAGGAATTTTATGTCTTTCTTCTAAGGTTTATTTGCCCCTTTTATCTGTTTGTAGAACTGAATGTGTGCATCATAATTCTTGTCTACCAGAAAAACTGATTGTGTTTTCATGTAATAATAGACCATGAATTACCCTGGGGTTACTGCAGAAAAAGCAGGAACTGTTAACTGAAACAAATGGCTTTCTTAAAATCCTAGTAACTCCTGATGACAAGAAAACACCATGACCACGTGAATACCATTGTTCCCAATAGAAGGATATGTCCATTAATGTGGGTAACTCTGTATTATTTGATAATATCTGAAAGTTTCTATCTCCTCTCAGTCCTTTCATAAGAGGATGCCTTAAAAAATTATCCTTTATTGTCCTATTATTATCCCTTGTAAAATTAAAATTATGTTTATGATGTATGAAATGTATTTAAAATGCCAGGATAAGCTGCTTTTTTGGTATAGGAGCAGTAAAATGTTGGCATATGGGAATAGTTGATTACAAAAGTCATTTTAGAAATTTTTCTTTCAAGATTCTTCTCAGTTGGGCCCTTCAGAAACAAATGAAGACTCTGAAGCCGAAGTGAAAATCGAAGGTTCGTTGCCAACAGCCTCTTCCCAGCCCCCTTGCTAAACTTGGCTTTTCTTCTTAAAGGATGATTGTGTAGGGGGTGAAAATGACTATGTGTGTATGTTCAGCTATAGCAACCCATATTCCCATCGGGGCTCAGTGCTTGGGACATCTCAGACAACATAATGCAGACGTGCAAACTAGCACTGGCCCACCGTGGGCCCCAAACGTGCTCTGTCCAAGTGAGAAAGAATAGAGGGGGGCGGGTGAGGGGAGAATGAAAAGGCCAGGACTGATTTTCTCAGAGCCCCTCTGGGATGGACAGAGGTCAAAGGCAACAATTGGGGCCCACAGTCGATGAACTCAGTTTAAACGCAAGTATCTAAAGGAAGTGAAATTGGACGTGGGATTTAGAGTCAACCTCTTTGGGTCTCCTCCCACTGTGGGAGCTTCTCTGTCCTCTCAATAAATCCTGCTTTCTGAAGAAAAAAAAAAAAAAGTGGGATTTAGTCAAGACTTATTTATTTATTTTAAGATCCACTGTTTTTGTTCTAAAAGCATATCCAATAGTTACAAACATATCGCAAGATGCTGTTTGCAACGTAAAGTTTTCAAAGCACTTGATTTTTCAGGTATACCAGTGAGACAGTTTATCCCGGAATTTGTGGATTTTTCAGCCCATTTAATTAAAGGAATGCTGATGGGCATGGTGGCTCATGCCTGTAATTCCAGCACTTTAGGAGGTGGAGGCAAGAGGATTGCCTGTGCCCAGGGGTTTGAGACTAGCCTGGGCAATTTGGCAATACCTCATCTCTACAATAAATCAAAAAATTAGCCGGTCACGGTGGCACCGGCCTGTAGTTCCAGCTATTTGGAAGGATGAGACAGAGGATCACCTGAACCCAGTAGGTCCAGGCTGCAGCAGCCATGAGTGTACCACTACACTCCAGCCTGGGCAACACAGTGAGACTCCAACTCAGAAATAAATAAATGAATACACATAGTTTCTTTCTTTCATTGTGATCGGCTTAGTAATCCAATAAAAGATATTTTTATCTCTGCTACTAGAATATGAGGCGATTCATAATGTCTCCCCAATGTAAGAAGTTCTTTTATATGTTTAATAATGTTATGAGGTCTCAAGAGTAATATTATACAGTCCTATCCTAGCATTTGATACAGTCTCACCTGAACAGGTATGATTTTGAACTAGCAAAATCTGAATTTTAAAATTGTATTAAATAACTGCCATTTTATCATTTTTCCATCAGAAATATGATTTTACAAGAAGATGGTAGTATTTGGATAATAGTGTATAAACTATACAAATTATGCTTTTAAAGTAAACATTTCTCTACTTGAAGTTGTTTTTGCTTTTCTCTTGGGCTGAGTGAGCCTTTTTTATTTAACCTGCATGAAACACTCTTATTACATGAAACACTACAGGGTCTGAATTCGTTGCATTGTGACTAGGGAAGTTGAGAGATGCAGTGAATATTCTGGTCCTGATTTGATTTCTCCATCGTACTTCATTTATTTGAATCCTAAAATGATTTGGTCGAATTGATTGTTTTGGGGGAAAAGCTATCATTATTCACAGCAAAGAAAAGGTGGGTGCAGTTTAAATGCCCAACAGTCAGAGAATGGGCCATGGCGGTTCAATTTTCTTTAGAAAATATGTAGACAGAAGGCTGGACCCGGTGGCTCAACCTGTAATCCCAGCACTTTGGGCGACTGAGGCTAAAACATAACATTTACATGGCTCAGCTTCGGCCATCCCATGGCATCAATGTGGCATCAGATACGCTTGATTTTGGACTGCCCTTTTGAGCTACCTAGTGACACTTGGGGTTTTTTTTCCTTCAAATGTCACAAGAGAAAACCCTTAAAGTGCTTTTAAAAAATTGTTTTTAGCCAGTCATCAGCTGGTGTGTGCCTGTAATCCCAGCTACTCAGGAGGCTGAGTTGGGAGAATCGTGTGAACCCAGGAGTTTGAGGCTACAGTGAGCTATGAGTGAGCCACTGCACTCCAGGCTGAGTTGAAGAGAGCGAGACCTTGTCTCTAAAAAATAATATAATAGCCGGGCTCGGTGGCTCAGCCTGTCATCCCACGCCTTTGGGAGGCTGAGGTGAGTGGATCGCCTGAGCCTGTGGGTTCGAGACCCGCCTGGGCAACATGGCAAGACCTCATCTCTACAATAAATCAAAAAATCACCCGGGCATGGTGGCGTGCGCCTGTGATTCCGGCTACTCGGAAGGCTGAGGTGGAGGGATCGCCGGAGCCCAGCAGGTCGAGGCTGCGGTGGCCGGGAGCAGCCACTGCACTCCAGTCTGGGCAACAGAGTGAGACTCCAACTCAAAAAAAAAAAAATTAAAAAAAAAAAGTAATTTAAAAAAAATAAATAAAATAATATAATAAGATTAAAAACTGGGAAGGTTCATGTACATTTTTCCCATATCGCTTAAGTGAATATTGCATTTATCATTTGACCAGAAAGCATGACAACGTCATCCATGCTTTTACTATTTAACCCTGTCTTGGGCTTCTCTTTGGCCATGTCTGTTAAGTCATTTCTCTTAGGATGATTTTTAAATGTCCTCTAGTACATATTTATATGTCTTATTTCCTTTTTCCTTCTTTGAATTGAGAATAACAATAAAGGAAACATAATCTTTTTTTTTTTTTTTTTTTTTTTT